GTTGTGCCTATCGCACCAGAGATTGCCAATCCAGCTACTCGTTGAATTCGTGAAAGTTTACTGATAACTGAAGTCTGTCGGACTTTCCTATACCAGGCTGCTGCTCCGTATGTGATCATAGGTCTAACCACAGTCACATAGAGCCAGTACAGTCTTTCAGGGGTAAGACCCCAATTTTTTCCACAAAGACTGCGACAAGTCCACAAGGATAGTCTAGCTTTGTGCAAAACTCCCTGCAAATGTCCATTCCATGACAGGGTTTTGTCTAGGATTACTCCTAGATATTTGACTTCCTTTGAGAAAGGAATTTCTTCACCTTGGATAGTTGGGCGGATTAGTCCATCCAACTTTCGCTTCCTGGTGAAGGGCACAACAATTGTCTTTTGCGGGTTTATTGAGAGGTTCTCTCCCTTACACCAAGCGCAAATGGTATCTAGGGTCACCTGGAGGACTTTAGATATCCTCGGCAAACAGGTTCCTTTGACCATAACGACAATGTCATCAGCATAAGCTTGTATTTCCACACCAACGGCTTCGACTATCGCAATCAGATCGTCAACTAGGAGGGACCAAAGCAGGGGAGATAACACCCCTCCCTGCGGGCAGCCACCTCCCGGCCTGAAGCGTAATAAGATGTTGTCTACGGCTGAAATAACCTCCCTCCGTAGCAACCCCACTTGTTCTACATTGAACTGCTGGGCGGGATAGTCTGGGTGAATTAATCCAACCCTGATACCGCTCACAGCAGCTTTGTAAGTCAGCTACTTCTCTGAAGCAGCTTTGGTTTCCGTCGGCACGATCTCAGCCTGCTTGGGTTTCTTAGCCACTTGCTCGGGCGTCGACCCATCAGAGCGCGCCCTCTTGGCCAAAGGCTTAGAGGTCTCTGCGCTCTTTTCCGATGGAGTATTGATCTTTTCAATCACCTGCTTGAGGGCGGTCTCATAAGGCACCCCGCTCCCCATAAGCTTGCGCAGGTTCCTTTTAGCGGACCCTGGCAGCCGCAGGCGTTTTTGTTTAAGGGTGAGACTGTCTAGTGCCTTAACAGCCTCCTCCTCATCTTTCTCCCCTTCAGAATGCAGAAGAACCTGCTCCTCTTCCAGAGAGGGAGAACTTGACTTGGGTGCGGACGGTCCGGCTACCACAAGTGTAGATTGTGATGGAGGACCATCCTCCATCTTTTTGGTTTCCTTTTCAGGATCGAGGTTTATCCCCCCCTCGTCTAGGGTTTTACTAATACTGGGCGTCTCCATACTAATCCCACGAGTAGAGCAGAAAGGGTAGTCCATCGAAGCAGTGCTCCCATACCCCGATAAGCCTATTAAAACTGAAAGGCGGCAGGTCTCCAGAGTCCGCTTATTAGCAGCCATCACTTCCCGGATGACTAGACCGTCAGATGACAGCCTAAAGTGCTCTGCATAAGCTGTTCCACATTCACTTTGGGGTTTTTAATGAGGTTGTCTCCTCTTGACCCAGACAATTAAGCCCCCGCATGCCCTGCCCGTGGAACAGGTCCACAAACAATAGGTATGCATGGTATAACGGTTTCGACTATATCAGTCGTCCCCGGCCACGTTTTCTCTCGTGCAAGCCCTAAGCCACGCGACGACAGCCAAGTTTATCGACTGGCTAGTCTAGATCCGACACTTTTGGTATAGTACAGGGGCACCTCGTGAAGGAGCAGTAAAAACTGCAGTGTCGGTCTTGATTCAGGTCATAAGACAAGAACCCTGAGTACGGCAAAACAAGTAGGACAAGCCTACCTAGGATTCACCGCACCCTCACCCCCCTTTTTTTTGGGGGCTAACTTCGCATAGGTTATTTTTTTGTAAAATGTATAAAATTAATCATTGACCAGATTAATATCCCACAAAACGTCAAAATCATTCTAATTGATGTTCTCTTCACTCACGATTCAACTTTAATTCGTATTACTATTATTATTGAGTTAACCTTGGTATTTAGAATAGTTCACGAGCGCATCATCCCGCGTAAGGACAAACCAAAACCAGGATATCGTAAGAATTTGGTATTTCTTATTGCCATTCTCCTTTTTTTTTGTTTCTAAAAGGAAACGAGCGTTCGAAAATGTTTTTGAAACGTTTTACAACGTTTCCTTTTATTGTTTTTCGAATGCCGGACGCGTCCTATTCGTTTTTTAAAAAATTCTAAGCGGGGTTTACGCGCCTGTTGGCAAACTTTCCTTGGTTTATATAAGAAAGGTTTATTGCGAAAACGAAGATGTGGCTAATTGAATGGTAATTAAACGTTTTCTTTAGTACTTTCACACTAAATCAATAATAGACGGGTTGTTACTGTTAATAATAGTTATCGTAAAATTTATTTTTATTTAGAATGATTTGAAGGTAATTTCGTATTAATTGTGGGACCGACAATAAGATCCGATCATGGTTTTACGTAATGTTAAAGTAATTACTAGCGGCAAAGTGAGGTCGCCGCAAGGACGGAACATCCGAACTCGTTTCTGAACTTTTCGTAATATCATCGCAAAATCTGTAGAATTGTTAAAATGCCTTCAATTGAATCCAGAGACTACGAGATTCGTGTGCTTCGTACTTAATGTATAACAGTTCCCACGGAATGTAGCAACTGTTGTATCGTTGTAGTCCTCCGCCATTATTCTCTTAGGTAATGTAGATTCTTTCATAAGTAACGAGATCTCCTGACTATTCGTTAAATAATATTCTCGAAAAGAAGCTAAATACTTTAATTAACTTATAAGATTTACAACA